TCTCTTGATCTTAATTATAATTTGAATTCTGATTACAAAAGAGAGGAGAATGATCTGGATTCTCCCCTTTGTTTAATTCTGGGTTCTTCACAGTAGCGATGGAGTGCTTCCTTCGAATGCTCGCGTCGAATTTGCTCTCCGTTGACGATCTGACCGTCTTGTCTCGCGGGCACAATTAACTTGTGTGACAAGTTTTATGGAGAACTCTTAACGAGTTTAGGAACTCAGAGTGACTTGAAACTCTGTGAAAAGAGTTGTTTAAACTGAAAATTCGGTTAATAGCCAAGTGAATTTATTTGTTGTTGAAAGATGTTCCAAGATCAGATCTTCCTATTGCCGACAATCCAAGAAGAATCAACCGACGCTCTCTCTGTGAGAAATCCGATCTCTTCTTCACCCACCAATCTCCTAAAGTCGAACCTTTTCCTCTGTTGAGTTTTTGAGGTTTTATAGGAGGATAAGGGGTTGTGACTGCCCCCTTAATCCGCTCCTAAGTGGGCATGATTTCCTCAAATCATGAAAAACAAATGGTTCTGAAACCGTTCGACTCATGTTTGAATGAGTCAAATGTCCAAATCAGCATTTCAGACCTTAACTCCGCGTCTTAGATTGGAGACGTGGAGTTAGATATCCGCTGGATGTTGAAAAACGCGATGACCGTCCGTGTTTTATTTGCTGAGGATTGGAAACGCGGGGGTCGCCTACATTTCAAGAATTAAAACGCGAAGATAAATTCCGCGTTTAGAAGAGGCTAGTTGACTTGTAACCTCTTCTGTAGAGCGTTGTAAGGACCATTGTTCAATAATCTTTACTTTAGCTGTTGTGGGGTGTGGAAGTCGTCAGATTGTAACTCTCACAGTTGATTGTGAAGACCACTGAATAGAGTTTTCATCAGTTATCGGAAGTGTTATTGAGTTGTAACTCTTCTCGATCTACATGAAAAGTCCTCCATTTGCAGTTTTTATTTGTTGACATGAAAGTCATCTGATTGTAACTTTCATCATTGAGATATGGAAGTTGTCGAATTGTAACTCCCATCATTGAAACTTGACGGGGATCAGCTATCTATTATGATTTTTAGACAGCCTACAACACTCTTATCTTCTGCAAAGCTGACTCCCTTAACATCTTAAATCTCAAATCAACCCTTTACTACTTTGAAGATATTTCTGGTTTGGGTATTAACTTCTCCAAATCCAACCTCTTATATAGTGGTAAATCTGCTAGCCGGGTCCCCTCCTTGCCAATTTATTGAACTGTTCATTCGCATCATCACCCTTCAAATACCTTGGCCTTCCACTCAAGAAAGGATCCCTCTCCAAATCAGATTGGCAACCTCTTATAGACTCATTCCGCAAAAAACTATCCATTTGGAAAGCCAAACATCTTTTATTCAGTGGTCGTCTATTCCTCATCAACTCAGTCCTCTCTTCTCTACCTCTCTATATTTCCTTCTTCAGGCTCCCTAAATGGCTGCTTAAGACCTTAGACAAAATCAGGCGTAACTTCCTGTGGAGGGGAGGCAACACCAATGCTGGTGGTAAAGCCCTACTCAATTGGGAGAAGGTTTGCTCCCCCAAGGTTTGTGGGGGCCTAGGAATTTCTAATTTTGAGAATTTCAACATCTCCCTCCTGGCCAAATGGTTATGGAAATATTTTAATAACAACAACCACGTTGGCCAGGTTCTTCAATCCACTACCCCCTTCCCCCATAGCACACCTCCAAGAAGCAATGACTCTAAATTTTGGAAAGATGTCCACTCTGCAGCTGCTTACCTTGCTTTTGCAGCTATAGTCAAATGGCGTTTAGGTGATGGTTCGAGGATCCTATTCTGGGAGGATAAGTGGACATGTTGCAACTCCCTTGCTAGTCTCTTCCCCTCGGCCTATAATTTGGCTTTCTCTAAGAAAACCTCCATTGAATCCCAAGGAAGATTCATAGGAGGGATGCAGCAATGGAAACCAATTTTGAGGCATCCTACTAACCAACAAGACATACTCCAAATACAAGATCTTCTTCAATGGATAGAATCCACCAATCTCTCCCCTCTCCCTGTTTTAGATGAAGTTATTTGGTCCCTGGATTACTCGGGCAGTTTCTCTGTGAAATACTTCTACACTTTCATCTTAGATGGAGGCACACGCAGCCCTTATCACTCGATTATTTAGCATAACCTAGTCCCTAGCAGGGTCAAATTCTTTACATGGTTCCTCTCTATGGCCAAACTTAATACTAAGGACAGACTCAATGCTAAAGGATGGACATGTAACCTATCTTGCTCCCTCTACTCCAGTGATACAGAGTCCCACAACCATCTCTTCATTCGCTGCCAATTGGCCAAACAAATCTGGGACATCTTTCTCCCAATCAATGATATACAAGCTCCTCCTACATCCATACATCAATGCTTCAACATGTGTTCCAACATAGACATAGCACCTGCAGTAAGGCTTCTGCGGATATTTGTCTTTTCGACCATCTGTTTGGTTATATGGTTAGCTCGTAATAGTCTCATATTCAATGGAGTCATGCCTAATCATCATCAAGTAACATCCAAGATAGCTTACTTCCTCACTTTTCTGGACAGGTTCGGCGTCTTCCAAACGAGCTCTTAATCTCAACCTGCAGTAAGGCTTCTGCGGATATTTGTCTTTTCGACCATCTGTTTGGTTATATGGTTAGCTCGTAATAGTCTCATATTCAATGGAGTCATGCCTAATCATCATCAAGTAACATCCAAGATAGCTTACTTCCTCACTTTTCTGGACAGGTTCGGCGTCTTCCAAAC